CCCAGGGCTTACCCCCTGGCGGCCTTTGCCCCAACAGGGGACGGTAGGACACGTGCTTAGGCGGTGTCACACGGCCGAAAAATACAACAACAACAACATAAAAGGACAGTTACCAACTGAGCTACTAAAAAGACCAGAATACCAAGTCGAAGACTTGGTATGCGCATCGCTCTATATACTAAGCCTTGGTCAGTTCGTCACATGGATTAGGTCAAGATACTCCACCTCTCTGGTCTGGTTGATAACATCGTTCCAACAGTTATACATGTATGTGCGTTATTGCCCGCCAGCCTGTTCCTTGCTGAAGTGTATAGGAACATGCCATCCGCACCATTCTACGGCCATATTCTGCGGCTGTAGCAGCTGCCTGCGTGAAGGCAGTTCTGGCAGAGCGGAGAGATGGGCAGTCGTTAGTTGTCTTGCCCGGGAGGGTTGATCGAATCAATCAGGAGGTTGAAAGACAAACTGTTAATGGTAACGTGCTTTACGGGTCTATTCATTACCAGTAAGCGAGTTTCCCACATATTGACGACTACCATCTAACTCTTGAAAAGTGGACAAGTTGGCTCATTTAATGAAGTCATTAATAAAGGCGCAGAAGCCATTAAACGATCCAATAGATCGCTTCAGCACAGTCAAGAGCAACGAGAGACCTAGTCTAGTTACATCGATTCCCTCATGGAAACAGTCAAAGAGGCGGGGGAGTTCCTTTTCAAGTTGCTGCTCGGAAGTCCCATAATAACTTCCAGGATCATCGCATTGACTGGAAACTACTTTGGGCAACTCACCGTTACGCAAGATGCTCTAGCTACCCAGAAACGAGAGACGGAGAAAATTAGTGAAGGTCTTAACGCATCAAATGATGAAATCGAAGATGCGATGGAGGGGGTCGACCTCAAATTGGATGAGCTTTACGTCCTGTTATTAGGGCAAGACTATGCGACTGAAATTTTTTACATAACCGATGCAGGTCCGGATGTTCCACAACCTCCATTGGAACAACTTGAAGGCATGGAGAGATCAGATACTGTAAAGGTCGGGGTCCATGACGTAGAACATGTGAACGCCTGTTTCTGTCCAGAACGGCCCACTAGTCAGGAAACGAAGGCTCTTGCGGACAAAGGAAAGAAGTATTTATCAGGGCCTGCATCTAGCCCTGATGCCGTGCAAAATCAGCAAATTGAAACAATCCACCTCCTGAAGCAACAGCTCACGATACTTGCAGACCAGAAATGTCAACTCAGAACACAACTAGATCTAATCAAATCGGAAGTCCAAGCTCAGCGAGAGGCACTCAAAATCTCCGAGGCGCGAATCAGAGACCTACAAGCCAGAGAACGGGAAGCTGAAGAGGAAAGAGAAAAAAAGCGCCGTCAAGCCTGGTGTTCTATTCTGTGACTTTGAGCTTTAATGTATTCTAGTACGTTAACAAGTTCACTTTTGCTGACAAGGAACTTTATACTCAAAGCTACCTGCCGGTGGTCGTCTGCTTCATGAATGCTTGTTTATGGGATTAGAAACCCCTTCTTCCACTAATAGCAGGAAAGCTTGTCTCGGCAGTTGATCGATTATTGGGCCGCGGTCTGTCGAACCGTTGCTCTTCTCATAGATTTGCTCGCGTACACAGTCAGAAGCCGTTGAGAGTGTTGTTCGCCTGTAGACAACCGCCAGCTGGTAGGATGGTCGTTGGTGGCTATTACCACTTGTTTGAGGTTCTCTGGGCCAAATATACACCCTTTTAAGTAATAACTAGCACATTCCGCACAAAAGGAGGAGAAAGATGTCTCTCGGCAGATCAAGTTACTTGGCGCCAGGTAGCCTCCCCCACATGATTTGCAGAGATCCACTTTACAAGTTCCATGGAATTCTGTTGTAATTCAGAGGAAGATTGCTTGTTATTCTTCTGACAGGAAAATTAACGATTTATATACAGTATGCCACCTCCAGATTGATTTCCAATCATAGCTGGTGATTCTGTGATAACAGGAATTGATTCCGGTACGATATAACATCTCACAACAAATTCCATAAGCGTTCTTTTCTTACGCATGGTGTAATTGTATGTCTAATATTACTGTAACATTTTACTGCCCCCTTCAATTTAATGCGACACGCCCAACTACTAACCTGCCGGCATGTGGTTTAAGTACGGCTGAGCGGACGGGAAGCCTTGTTCTCCACACCCTGTGGTCGTATGTACTGGTGTTTGGAAGTTACCAGCTTATGTGGGCTTAAATTAGGGCTGTTACTGAATCAAGAATCCGTATTTACTTTTGCATTGTGGTATCATGACTCACTTATCCAGTGGCAGTCCTTTTTCATGTTTTTTTCGACTTTTTGGTGCTTCTTCCTTATAGACACCAAATAACACATTGTGAGTAATCTAAATAATTTCACTAAGGACATGGTGTAGTGCTTTAAATCGAGTTTCAATGTCTTATTGCATAGCTTGATTTTGGAGATTAGTTAAGTGGCTACACCGGCCACCCAATACACAATCCATCCATCGCTTCCCACAAAATATGCAAATCACGGGACTTCCTATGTTTGTGCTGTTTGATGACCCTTAGAGCCCGCAGAGCCGCCCGCGGGTCTGCCTAGGTCTACCCCGGCCCATCGTGGGCTGGGCTTTGGGCCCGGACCTTGGGCCAAAAGTTGGGCTTTGCGGAAGTCTATGCATGGCGAGAAAGAGTGGGTTTAATTAAGATTGAATGTTACACAACAAGATCAATTAAATCTCTGAGGCCTTAACCTAATTTTCAGCCATCATTATGCCATCATCGCTCTGAGCTCATTCATCTTGAGTCTTTGGCCATATATTCGACAATTCACTCTCCCCACATACATACGATAACAGGGTGTGGAGAACAGGGCTTCCAGTCTGCTCAGCCATTTTTGAGCTACTTGCTGAAGGTTAGTAGGGAATAATGCTTCGAGTCTAGCGACTGGAAGTTCAATAGTGTAGAGACGACCAACTCTTATGAATTTCGTACTATACGAGAAGAAAAAAAAAAGAAAAGGTTGGTAGATAAATACTATACACCTTAATGATCTATGCAATTCCAGTGCTAATATATAGAAACCGCAGCCATGACCGAAGGAAAGCCGCCACACTCGCAATTGTCCCACACAAGCAGACTGTGATTACAATCTGTAATTTGTGCCCCATTGATCTCTTCGCATGCCACCATAAGGTGATTTCACAGCCTCTGAGCGTATACCACATGACTAAAGTAAGCTAGTTAGTTGTATAATCTCGCACAGATTTCCGAACCAATCAACAGAGAAAAATATATGTAAAAGCTATTTCCACGTAGACCAAAAGAAGACGAATTCTCTATTGGTTACTGGAAAAGACAGTAGAGATGTCCGAAGGCAAAAGTAACTCTGCTGGGAAGGGGGAAGAAAGTCATACAAATTATGCATCATATGCACGTCTTTTCGCATCGTGTCTGCCCGCACTTCAGCTAGGAACAGCTGCACCGCCTCAGGACTCCATCCCAACACATGAGTAAATGTCGCCACGCTGAATGCCTCGAGCCCTTCCAGAAATTGAATCATGTTGAGGGCTCCAACCTCTTTCTACTTCATAGATCAGCCTCTTCAATTCTCTGGGCTGAGTGTTATATTAGTTAGAAACTTACCATCCGCCGATCCATGGGCCAGGGCCCTAGAGGCAAGGGATAGACACGATGGTGGATGTTGCGGAAACCAGCCGCGGCAGCATAGCCGGCTAACTCAGTACCGACAGTCACCGGCCGGCCCATTTGCTCGCAGGCCTCGGCAAGCAGCTCATAAAACCTGTTCACGCCATTGTCCTTAGTGAGAGTACCGTCTTGGCTGTAATTGACCAGGTGGAATTCTTGGAATTCAATCCAACCCCCTACGCGGGTTTGTCTGAGGACACATCAGTTGAAGTTCAAATGCAACGGGGTTAAGAGGTACTACTGATAGGCTTGGTGGAAGAGCTTGGGCCAGTCTTGGATTGATCCGCACATGTAGCGGGCATGGATCAGATCGAAGGGTTGACGTGGAGGCCATTCCGCTTCGACGTCGTCCACTTCAAAGATCACGTTTGGGGGAACTCTAGTCGGTCAATGCCTGCTCGAATGAAAAAGGAGAAAAATCATACAGATCAGGTTGGATAGGGCTGAGGTCGTTGCCCAGGATCTGAAAGGTTAGCGCCAACCGGGAACGATTGGTATCTATCACATACCATTTTGGTGTTTGGATATTGGTCACCTGGGACATGTTAGCCACAGGTTAATTGCGTATCAAACATCCACTGACCAACTTCAACCGCCCATATACCGGTTCCCGTGCCAATGTCCAAGACCCGCAAGGGCTGTTCCACTTCCACCGGGGCGAGGAATAGCTGGCCACCCATGGTAAGCTTGAACATGCAGTGCATCATATCCAGTCGGTTCTGCTCCCGTTCATCGTTGGGAAATTTGTAGCCTGACAAGATAAATCACTGTCGCAAAGGGAGGAAAAGAAGAAACTTACTACCCTCTTTGTAGGCGTGGAAGCGCCGTCCATTGACCCATTTGTAGTCGAGCACGGTCGAGCTCAACGAGGTCGCATAGCTCTCACTTGGGGAAAGAGTTAGTGATGCAAACAAAATAGCGAACGACATACAGATCGGTCGGATATCCTCCGTCATCCTAACGCCCGTGTCAGCCACAGAGACAAGGAGTCCGTAACGGCAAACCCACCTCGGGATCCACCAGCACGTGGTGCACAGACAGTTCCTCGACTTCAATGGGTTCGATTGGGTGGGAAGACGACATGAAGTTTGGACAGACGCTGTCTGGGGGAATAAAGGGATTGAAAGTGATATTTAGTGGGGTGTGGACGGTAGCCGAGTGGCTAGAAGGCACTATATAAACAGGTCCTACATCAATCCTAATGTAGCTTAGCGAACACACGATCCACATGGCGGTTTCTTCCTGCCCCTCATTTCATTCTTCGACTTGTATCTCTTGCGTTTCCTGTCCGCGAACTCATAAAATGGGTGCCCCTTCAAATAGTCTAGCCGATTTGGCCGCAGAAATCAGCCAAGCCACCGAGCAAGTCAATGCCTTCTTGGTTGCAAACGGCCATCCCCAGCCATCGTTCGATCGCGATGCACCCTCTGCATTCCCGGAAGCACCGGCAGCTATCCAGGCGGCCCGTCAGCAGATTCTGGATGCCTGCCAGACCATGTTCGATGTGTTGGTTGGACCGGCTGAGCATCTCCGCTGGTTGGCGTGTAGGGTATGTCTATGCTCTGTTGTAGAGAAACGGGGAAACAACACTGACATTAACACAGTACCACGACATGTCTAGCCTTCGGTGGCTCTATCACTTCAACATTGCCGCCGCCATTCCACTAGACCGGGTCGTCCCATACAGCGAAGTCGCTGCTACAGCCAACGTAGATGAGAACCGCCTGAAGAGTGTCCTGCGTCTAGCCATGACAAACCGGCTCTTCTGCGAGCCACGCCCGGGTTTCGTCGCACATAATGCCGCCTCAGCCCTCCTGGTCACCTCGCCTGCCCTGAACGACTGGGTCGGGTACACCTCCGAGGAAACCTATCCCGCCTCAGCCAAGCTGGTCGAGGCCACCGAGCGTTACGGCTCTAGCCAGCTCGCCAACCATGCCGCTTACAACATCGCCTTTGACACCGATCAGTCCATGTTCGTACATCTGCAACGTTTCCCGGAGCGGGAGCGGCGGTTCGCCAACACTATGGTTGAGATGACCTCCACCGAGGGATATGGTGTGCATCATTTGGTGGACGGGTATCCGTGGGAGGAGGTCGAGGGCACAGTGGTGGATGTATGTATATATGCCCCTTTCGAGATTCATTGATCAGGATTTTTGTTGTGTGTGGGTGTTAATAACTCTCTAGGTCGGTGGCTCAACAGGCCATGCGAGCATTGCCATCAGCCACAAAGCGCCCACGGCCCAGTTTGTGGTCCAGGACGTCGAGGGGGTGGTTGAACAGGGCCGCGCCGCCTTACCTCCTGCGGTGGCAGAGCGCATCACCTTCCAGACGCACGACTTCTTCACCCCACAGTCCATCACGGCGGATGTGTATCTGTTGCGCTTTATTTTGCATGATCATCCCGATGCCCGGGCCGTCACGATTCTGCAGAATCTCCTGCCCGCCATGAAGAAGGGTAGTCGGGTCATTCTGAATGAAGGAGTGCTGCCAGATCCGTTAACGCTGGGGAGGGGCGAGGAGAGGATTGCACGGTAAGTGGTTCGTTACTTTGGGTAGCCTAGCAGCCAGCTAATTCATATAGAATCATGGACATGGAGATGATCACTACCTTTAACGCGCGGGAACGCCCGATTGAGGACTGGAAGAAGCTGTGCCGGGATGCACATCCGGGACTGAAATTGCGCCGCTCCTTTAAACCAGCTGGGAGCATTATGTCCATCATGGAGTTTGTTATGGAAGAATTGTAGGCACGAGCTCGGGTTGGGCCTCAGCTGCTGACAGTTTCACTGTCAATGGATCTTTATGTTTCTTCCTACCGTTATCATGTTACTAGGCAATATGGTGCTCGTGCGTATCCACAGTTAGCCCCATTTAAACACGCCTATATCACCTACTATGAATGACGTGCAACTTGTGGAGTATTCATGAGGTGGATTATGGGATCCCTATCCAGGAGTCTTCTGGGCGAGATGTTAGTTTATATGAGATAATAAAGGCAATGGACGTCCCGACTTGGAGTAATCTATTAAAATATATAACATGGGCCTTACTATCTTGTTCTAGTCCTTATATATGGACCCACGCCTCTGTCGCCGCGATCAACCAGCGGCACGCCCACTTCGCCCAGCGGTACCCGGGCAGCTGTGCGGACCCGGACGACCACCTCTACGTGCTCTTCTTTACTGCCATCGCCCTGCACCACTTCCGCACCCGGCTCCGCCTGCCCGGCCGGACGGAGACGCGGGATGGCCGTCCTCTTCCTCGTCGAGGTCCCGCAAAAGAGATCTTGCGATCAGTTTCCGATCTCGACAAGCCAGAATACATTGCTGTACTGCCACCTAATATTCTCTGGATATTTGAGAATATAAAACAGGCGAAATCATACATTGAACGGGAAATGGTGAAAGATCAAGGCGATCATCATCATTTCTTTGCTTTCCTGGTCAATCCAATGTCGATAGCCCAGGATGTAACTCCTGCAGCTGACTCTATAGAAATTCCAGTGATCCCAACAAAAGCTCCGATTCACCCGTTGTTAGTTCCGAGCCAAAGGGTGCCAAGGATGGATCGAAAGGCTGCGCGAACCAGTCATCAATATCGGACCCAGCATCAGGGACAAAATTAAGTAGATTATCCGGCTCAGGCCCCGTTGTTCCAGTCGTGTTTCTACCGCTCCATTCCTTCGGCTGCGATGCTGATGAAACTTCCTCGGGCTGTGCATAAGCCGACGGAAATACTCCACCACATTCAGGTCCGATATTCAAACGCAGTTTCTTTTTGAGGCTTTGAACGAGTCGACCAATCAGGGTCGCGAATTAAGGGACGAGATGAAGATCATCGTGCCTTGTGCGCTTCAATGTCTGAATGAACCTTTCTATAACCTCAAGCGAGTGAACCACCTAGTAGGAGGGAAGTGTTCGGCGGTAACTCTGCAGAAATTCCACGAAACTCGCCAGCTGGTTCCATCGAAGGGAAAAGCCACTAAATGTGGCAGCTGTATGTGGCTGTGGGTCAAAGGTGACTAATATCGAAATCACATGGATAAGTTAGCGCCATTTCCCGGATCTTGACTATTGGATCATCTTTAATTCCACAGATCTAGCTCTTCGACATCACCCCAATTATCCTCGATCCTTAAGCATCCAGACACCTCCCCCTTTCTGCAAAATCTACTACGCCAATGAACCCCACACCTCCGTCCATTAATTCCGGCCCCTCCTTAGATATCAGGTCTACCGAGGGCCATTTCCATGTTGTCAAGAAGAGAAACAGAGTCCCGCTGAGTTGCTACCCGTGCCGAACTCGAAAGTTAGCCCGTCCCGAAATCACCCTCCTGGAAAAAGTAATTAACAGCCCGCCACAGATGGTAAATCCTCGTGTAATGGTAAACTTACCATTCAAACTGACTCCACTACCAGGAAATGTGATCGGAATCACCCCTGTGGCAATTGTCTGAAACGTGAGGGTGTTGACGTCAGTTCTTGCATCTACGCGGCCTCTCCTACACGGACACAGAACCACAGTCGAGGCACTTCGACACCTGAAGACATGCAAACTCGAATTGGTCGTTTAGAAGACATAATTCTGGCTTTGATGCGTGGGGATGGCAACGCTGATGTGTCGAGCGCAGCAACTACAACCACTGTGGCTAAGACAGCGACAATGGACAGCACATCACAATTTGCGACAGCCGGCCTGGCCGACGAAGCGACAATACACAGCCATGATGTGGATCGCCATGCTGATGGCAGCTTGGCCGGCTCTCTAGGTTACCTCAATATTAACGTTGATAAGGGAAAGTCGAAGTATATCGGTCAGGAGCACTGGCATACTATGTTATCGGAAGTTGCAGAGGTCAAAGCCTACTTCGCCAACCACGAGAAGGAGATGGAAAACAACGAGAGAGTCAGGATGTCCAAGCCGGCAAGCGCTAGAGAAGGACTCACCTTCCTCCTCGGGGCCGTTCCTCCTGCCACCGACGTTGAACTACGAGCTGAGTTGCCTCCCATGTCGGCTGTCCTCACCTTATGCTCGCGATACTTCAACTCGCCGGATAATCTTGTCGTCATTGTCCACTACCCGACATTTCACCAGCAACTCCAACGCCACTGGCAAGACCCGTCCAAAACACCTATCATGTGGTTAGGTTTGCTATACTCAATATTGTGTCTTGCGATGCTGAGTTACTACAAATTTGGGGGTGAACCTATCGAATGGGAAGGACAGGTCCTAAAAATGGCAGGCGAGTACCGGTTACGGACCGTGCAGTGCCTGATAACGGCTGACTACACGAAGCCAGTTGAAAACACAGTGGAGACGATGCTGCTCTACGTCTTCGGGGAGTATTCATCGCGATTTGATGTTGATCTGGGACTTTGGTTGGTCGTCTCGATGGTCACCAAGATCGCCTTCCATATGGGATATCATCGCGATGCAAAGTGGTTCCCATCGTTGACGCCGTTCCAAGGTGTAGGTGCTTTACATGGGCTTTCGTCAAACACAAGCTGATGTCACGCAACAGGAAATGAGACGACGGACGTGGGCTTTGTTGCGAATGGCCGATGTAATGTTTTCTCATCAGGTTTCATTGCCTAATACGATTTACAGTCATCAGTGCGATACACAGGTGCCCACAAATCTTCTCGATGAGGACTTTGGTCCCGAAACTCAGACTTTGCCTCCATCTCGCCCAAACACTGAGCCCACACCGACTGCATACATGATCGCGAAGGTGAAATTATGTAATGAGATGAGCGACATCCTGCAGTCAACAAACCGCGTTGATGGTCAGGTTCCGTACGAAGAAATCCTGCGCTTTGATACCCGAATTCGTACGATCTACCAGGAGCTTCCCCCGCATTTGCAGGCAGTGTCACTGAAAGGCTGTCACGATCCAATTACGGTGATCATGATGAGGTTCAGCATCAACGCGCTTTACCTAAAGATCATTTGCTTATTGCATAAGAGATACGTGCCTCTCGCGCGGCAAAACCCAAAATACGCGTACTCGCGCCGAGCTGCCGTCACAGCCGCATCAGAGACGCTACAAAATCTCATCACTCTGCATCGTGAATCAAATGATACCGGAGGGCCTCGGTCTCTTGAGTGGTTCGTGAATTCGATGGCCACCAAGGAATTTCTAGTCTGCGCCATGCTTGTGGCGCTAGATCTTCATTATGACTGCATAGCGGAGCTTAACAACGATGAAAAAATCCGGGAGACTGCACTTTTCTGGACAGTTGATCAACGGAAGGAGATGTTGAGCAATCTCGATATGATCAAGGATTTCTGGAAAGGACTGGCCGACGGCTCAATTGAAGCTACCCAGGCATCCAAGGTACTGGAAATCATGTTGGAAAAGATCAAGAGCCCTGCGGCCACACCGGAGATCACAGAGGAGATCAGAAGCGCGAGAAGCAGCCAATTATCCAACGAACAGCCGGTGCACATGACTGCAGCGATGCTGGGCAGACTTTCAACAGGCATGATGCCAAACACAGCCACAACCGATGAAGGGACGCAAGCTTCTAGCGCTTTGTACAACATGGACTTCAGCGACAATTCGTCTGGCTCAAATATGATGCCAAACTTTGGCGGAGCCCACGGGGACACCAACAACACGGGGTTTTGGCCCCCAATGTTTCCAAATTCCATGGCAGGCGATGACTTTGCCGAGAATTTTGACTGGGTGAGCTTATCAACGAAGGCGATGTAGTATGGTCTCTGACAGTTTTAGAACATCTTCGAAAACTACACACAAAGCACAAACTGGGGAGGTGGCGACGCATTTCAGATTTTTTCTCGGCCACAAAATGCAGACTGATCTTGCAACTAGTCGAGAAATGGCAACATTACTCGATAGTTGCTGCACAGTCCATACAATAAGGTTACTTATAGATACTCAACGGCAGAATGGCTGCCTTTGCAGGCTAGTTGGAATGATGAGTTGCCATTGTCGTGGATTCTCTTGCCCAACTTATGATTCCGGCTCCCAAAATCCATGGGATGGGTCACAGTGAAGGCCTCACTCGGCATGCTGTCACTTAGTTGATCATTATTCTATAAGGTTTTATGGTACGGCTCTGTTATCCTTTTCTCCTGTGCACAAACTATAAACACCGTAAAATTACACATACTCTGCAACAATCTTATCGCACCACGCGACGAATTTGTCTGCCTAGCCCAACCCGCCTTGACTCTTTGGTAGACATCTTGCGTGGACATTTTCCCTAACATTGAGTTTCCTGCCCCAGGGCGCGACGTACGCGCCCGTGTCAGCCAAGGAAATTTCACCTACTGCGGCGAATAATTCAGTATAGGCCCCCATCACTGGAGGGTTCATCACCAGCTCAAGCATCAAGTTCGGTAGTTTGTCGTTATGCCTGACCAAGTCCGTTCGCAGATTTCCGGGATTCCAGCACAGATGCAATATCGAGCCCTCGGCGTCTCTGCGCCCATTCACGGCTGCGAGGAAGAGGTTGCCAGCCTTGCATACCGCGTAAAGGTTGCGGGAATGGATAGAGGTATCAAGGGCAGTTAAATTCTTTTTTTTTTCAAGAAAATTGCATGCCGCCCGGCTTATACGATCCGGCATCAATGGCAATAGAACCGGCCTAGGTAACGCGCACAGAACCAGGAGCGGAAGTCTTCGCTGTTTTGAGAAGAGTAGGCCGAAGCAGGAGATAAAAAAGATGAGATCCAAGACAATTCGTTCCGATTTGCATCTCATGGCCTTGCGCTGTTTTGGAACCTTTGGGGATATTCATGACCTGTTTAGCTATTAGTAAGACGCCCGAAAGGAATGGCCTCAGGTTATCATACACCGGCGTTAAGGGTCAAAACATGCAATGCATTTTCTTTCGAAAGGGCTGCTGCTGGCTTCAATGCTGGGAGATCCGAAAGATCGAGCTTAAGCTATACTACGGGAAGAGCTTGCATAGCCCCTCAATTGCCGCTTGAGCCTTAGTTTTAGATCATCATACTAAGTAGACGATGGAATTGTGTTGATAGAGGATTTTGCAGAGTTCGAAACCAACTCCGCCATAACCACTTGCGGGCAATGTTAGAAATTACAAGCTGGAGCCCTTCGCATGCTTGCTTAGTAACGAGGTGAACCTGGGGTAATATCAGTAAAAAGACGGTCTGGCAAAGTGATATGGTGTTCTCACCCTTCCCCCTTGGACAGGGCAATTCTTTTCCGTCACTGTTGGTGCCAGAATAAATTAAAATTGCGAGAAAGTATTTCCCATAGCTGTTCTTAGAAAATAGCTCGAAGGATTCCGACGTGACAGGAGATTCAACAAAAAAGGTTAGAATTAGACATGCGCGTTGAAGGGTGCAAATTTAGGGGACTGTAGGGAAACGCTAGTAATTCAGCACTTAACTCTATCAAGTTTGAAAAAGCTTGCGCAGATTCAAGTAATAACGTAAACCCCGGGCGAGTGGCCACCCCAACCGAGATCGACCACACATTCAAGAATTGAAGCCATTAAAAATCAACAAAACAACGCGTTTTTTATTGAAGCTATTCAAACTGCGCGTGTAGGACATCTAGTTCTAGTATGGCCTTGAATATTGCAATTAGAACATGTCGGTGGAGCGCGTTTTGGAGCCCCTGAAGTTGAAGTTCTCGTCTACATATATTCATGATTTCTTGCCTCCGCCTGCTCATTTCGCTGTTGAATTGAACCTCTCATTTGCTCTATGGGGTTAGCCTCAGTGGGGGCCATTTGACGCCTTGATCGAGCCCTTTTTAAACGATTATTTGCACTTTCCGCGCGTAAATCGGCGTTTTCTTTATAAAGCGAGTATTCGAACCCTTTCAAGAAGCGGTGGAATAGGCGTTTTGAAGGCGTAGAGGGACTATGGGACCCCTGCTTTAGCATCTCCTTTATTGATGAAGCTAATTTCTGCAGTTGTTTTACAGTATGAGGCGTCGCTAGATTTGAATTCATAGAGCCACGGCTCACCGGGGGTGTAGGAGTTGAAAGGCGAATATTTAATTTTTCGAGCACTCTCAGCGGTTGAAAAGGGACGATTCCCGCTGCAGCGAAGCCATTTTGAATATTTGAAGCAGTAAAGATCTGTAAATAAGCGGTAGGATACGCCCGCAGGAAATCAAGCTTATCAATATGATTATACCCGAGGCGAATCCGCTGCTCAACAAGTCCTCCATAAGCGCGTTTTAGAGGGCCAAAACAACCAACATCGAGTGGTTGCAAGAGATGAGATGAATGCAGGCATGCAGATCGGTATAATCTTATTATCTTCACACAATTTATCGAATAAAGGCGTCAGGTGGCTTCCGTGGCTATCTAAAATGAGCAGGCGATACTAACCCACTATACGGTGAGATGTTGCAGAAATAAAGACTTTTTGAAGCCATAAAAGTCCGATTTCATCGGTAGTCCAGCCATTTGGGCTAGCTTGAATCATCCAATCGCCTGGAAGGTGTTTCTCTGCATACCAACCTTCAATGTGGACCTTGCCTTTGAAGATAATGCATGTAGGGACTGACCACCCGTTTGAATTAATGCATTCAATCGTTGTAACCCACTCCTAGTTGCCTGGCTGAATAAGATGAGGTTTTCCGGGCATATTAAACCTCGTCACTAGTTCGTAGTAGCGATAAGACCCATGGCGAACCCTGTTTCATCAAAATTGAAGATATCTCCATCTGCGATCCCGGATTGCATCCGAACCTTTTGTAGCTGATCAAATCACGTTTGTATGACCTGGGGGTCCTCGCATTTTGCTCGCTCGTAATTATCTCGCCTCGAAAAGCGAGATTTGATATCTGGACGTCGTTTTATAAATTCGGTGACCCAGTTCTTGCCGATAGGTTTGAATCGTGATGGATCGTCTACTCGGAGGATGATTTCAACCATTTCTTGTACGTGGGAAGGTCTAGAAGGCATTCCACACGAATCCATAGAGAGTATCCATTAAATAAACGATTCCTCTTGAATTAGTGATAATCGATGATGAGCTTGGCTCTGATATGGCTAAGAAATCGGATGGAAACGCTTGATTATCTCTAATACTGCCACTGCAGAGGTTCTAAAAATGCAGCGGCCCAGTATAGGTCAGCTGACTGACTAACTACGTGCAGGCTAGCGCCGCAAGCCATACCAGCAGACTCCAACAATCGATGAGGATTTGCGCGAGTTTCTGCGCGATAAGATTGTCCCTTGAGGCGCCTACGTAGAGTAGTTCGGGGAATTTCGAAAATCTTAGCTGCGCGAGCTACAGTAGGATTTTTTTTTGAATGGCTTCAATTGCGAGTAGGATCATACCCTCCTAATTCTCGAGATTTTGAGATTATTGACTCATTTTTGATAGTGTGATTGATGATTGAATAATTTCAATTAATTTTATGGCAAGGAAGTTGAAGTAGGGTGGCCACTCGCCCGGGAATTGCGTTATGTACAATACTGTTGGCCCGCTAAAGTCCTAGCGCCGCGGAGATAAGACTAATCGGAAGATGTTCATGATGTTCCGCTCCCCTGCAGACATATGCCATCCCAACAGCTTAATTGGGGCAGATCGGAGATACTGTTAAAATCCGCAATGTATTATCATCAAAGACGAGTCCCCTTTTGTCGAATAAGGAGCGTAGAGGCAACAAGTTCTGTGTTATGCGAGAATGTCCCTTTAAGTCCGATTCAAGACCGGAGCAAGCCGTGGATCGGCTTATAATAGAGTGCTGACTATGACTTCATGATATTTCCAGTCGGATCACCAAGATCTAGACTACCTAAATCCGAAAGTCTTGTGTCTCCCATAATACGTAGAAAAGTAATAAAATGTGCGTTGAACACTTCATGTATCTCACCTTTTGCAATTTTTTCTGATTCCCCAATCATACTCACCTTACACAACCAACTTATCGCCATGTCCGCCATCGCCGTCAAGAAAGGCCCCATCCAACTAGCTGGACTTCTCTTCACGCCTACCACCTCCAGCGATAAAACTCCCGCTCTCATTGTCGTTCACCCAGGCGGTGGAGTTAAGGAGCAAACGGCCCAAGTATATGCGAAGAAATTTGCTGCCGATGGTTTTAAGGTAGTCTGCTACGACGCTTCTTACCAAGGCGAAAGCGGCGGCGAACCCCATTTTCTCGAGGACCCAAATGAACGTGTGAGCGACATCTATGCAGTGGTTGACTACCTGCAGAATGATAAAAGCGTCGATGCGGGAAAGATTGGAGTTGTTGGAATCTGTGCCGGCGGTGGGTACGCCGTCGCCGCGACCAAGGCAGATCACCGCCTGAAGGCGGTCGCCGCAATCAGCATGGTCAACATCGGTGATTCAGCGCGACTGGGCTGGTACGGTGATGAAGATTCGAAGAAGCAGGTCACGTCCTTGGACCAGGCTGCTGCTCAAATCACAGCGGAGACTCAAGGGTCGGAGCGTGCGGCCGCGCCGTATGTGCCTCCCCAACTGGACGATAAGACACCATATGATCTGAAAGAGGCGCATGACTACTATCTTGGACCAAGAGCGCAGCATCCCCGCGCAGAGAACAAGATGTTATTCCTAAGCTTCCCTAGGGTGCTTACATTCGACGCATTCCATCTCGCTGGATTGTTCCTCACACAGCCAACTCTACTGGTTGCCGGTGAGAACGCTGGGTCCCTGTGGCATACGGAGAAGCTCAGCAAGATCCTGGACGGAAAAGCAAAGAAGGTCATTCTCCCGAAGGGCACGCACATGGACCTTTACGATAAGGAGGAGTTTGTCAAACCTGCGGCGAAGAATGTGGTCGAATTTATGCAAGCGAACTTGACGTGATAAGTGCTTGTATCTAGCAAAGCCCGAGCCCAAACTCATACTTAGAAATTCATTAATCTTTCATTAATCTTTTCATACGCATGCAGGTTATGGGATTTAGAACCTGTATGTCTCGCCATAATGATTTAACGGAAAACCTGTGCTCGATTCACGAGTCTTGGCGTATTTATTTCACTGTCTGAGCTCCAGTGATATAGATAAGGTTTGATACCTTTACCCGTCCATCAGCAGTACTTGAGGATGTGAGAAAAGCGTTCTGAGAAATATTATATAATTTTTTTGTGCCTTCGTTTGCAATATCTCATAAACTAGAGAGTCGACGCCAACAAAAACAAAGTTCTAGAAATACTTTTAGATTATGCATATGAACATGTGATTGTGGATAAATACAGAAGATTGCCTATACGCATGAAGTGAATTATAGCACTAATCCTTTCTCGAAAACTTTGCCAAGCGATGGAAAACATCCTAGGCAATCTCAGGATTGCTCTCCAAGATAAATGGATTCATACACAAGAGGCTGTGGACACCGAACATTTCCATGATTTATCTTTCCCACCCAAGTTCCCTTGAACCTGATTCAGACCCGGCTATCAATTGGATAGAGCGCTTCATGTACACTATACATTCATGTATTGATCCCTCCAATCGAATACCCTTAGATTTGTCGAAAGAAATCGGCAATTCGCTGAACAGAAGGGTCCACGTATGCTGGGCGGTCATAGAAGTCCACGTGATGACCATCTGGAATTACAAACTGACTTACTCCAGGGCTGTTCACGATTTGCCTATTTGCCTATTTTGACGATACTATATCGGCAACTATACTATATAGTCAGTCCTAG